GATTTAACTCCATTTTATCAAACGTGTGCTCAGTCCACAAGATTGTGGAAATGAAGGACTTACAGCGACTTGAGCCATTTTGTACCGCTGCACGTGTTTCTAGTCGGACTATGTTTACGAGCACAAGAGTTCAGCGAGCCACCGAAGGACCGCCCTACGGATTTACTATTGGTTCTGCAACGTAGGGAGTTTTTTAAATCTCTGAAGTTGTATCCGCCCATCTAAACACAAAATCAGGGAGAAAGCCATCAGTCTTTAGTTAAGCAAAGCGTCTAAAGACTGACTTGTGAGTCTAGGAGCAGAGCAAGTCCAGTTCTGTCAAAAATCTCAACGTTATAAACAGAAAATAGCTAAAACAAGAAAACTCATCTACAAGCTTTTACAGTGAAAAATACAGTCTTCCAAAATAAATTCTGCAACAATCCCAAACCTTAACAAACTGGTGGGTTTGACCTCTAAGCAATAATCTGATTTTTCCGTATGTCCCATACACTATCTCAAGAACACCTTGAGGGAATTTCCTCAAATTTGGCACAGACGTCTGCCTGGACTCAACGATGAATTGATAAAAAAAATTGGTGGTCAAAGGTCACTTTGATCGCAGAAAACATGTTTTTGGCTATAACTCATAAATTCATACACTCACTCTGACAAAATTTCAAACAAATGTCTACTATGATGAAGAGATGACATTTTATATCCAAAAGGTCAAAGGTCAACTTCACTGTGACATCATAATGTTTCATAAATTTTCTGGTCGTTATTCAACATCATATCTCTGACATTTGGTCAGCTACTGAACTGGTGACACTAATCTTTGGTGTCCACCCTGAAACTGTACTAATTGCATAGATCTTCTCTACTGCTGTGTTGAAGATGTGTGTTAAAGGGAAATTTCGGTTTATTTCAACCCGTCTCCTATCGTCCTAAATTTGTTTCAAGTCACTAGTGACATAGAAATAATAGTTAGCATGTTAGCCGTTAGCCTAGATACAGCCGTAGCATCAGACCTGTTAAAATTTAATTGAACGGGCATCCTTTCAAGTGCAAAGTTAGTCCACTAAACAAGCTTTTTCTCCACAAAGACCGCCTCATATCGTTAGGATAAATGTCAGAGAACATATAGAAAACGACATGTAAACGTGTTGTCTTACCTTACCGGTGTGGTGCCATGTTTGTTGTTTACCATTTAGCTAAGGCTGCAACCAGTCCCATTCCTTGCAACAGAGGTATTCTTCTTCTGTGGGCACTGGGGTACAGCATTCACAGGTAACGTTACACCACCAATCTCCAGAGCTAAAGCCTTCCAGCAGCCATTCCTCCTCTGTCGTCCTCTACCTGTTGCGCCTCTCTCTCTCTCCTCCTCCATTAAATTTCACGAAGCTCTTCGTCAGTGTATTCTGGCTCAAATAAATAAGGGCGGCCATCAAACTCTGCAAAATCAAATTCCTCCTCCACAAAGTCAAAGTCTGGCAAAAAGTCAGCCATTATTCTATAAATCTTTCATGAAATAAATGAATGAACCTTTCAGGCTACTGTCCGGTTCTGCCTTGCAGCTGCTGCGGCTTGTTCTCGCGATATTTCAGGCACGGTATGAGATCGCTGCTTGTTCTCGCGATATTTCGGCCGCGCTTTGGGAAGCAGAGGCAAATGGTAAACACACATAAGGTAAGACAACAACTCTGAAGACCACCTAAATGTGGAATGTTAGTATATAGGCTTTCCACATCGAGAGGCGATGGCCGCCCTTATTTATTTGAGCCAGAATACACTGACGAAGAGCTTCGTGAAATGGAAGAATGGAGGAGGAGAGAGAGAGAGGCACAACAGGTAACGTTAGAGGACGACAGAGGAGGAATGGCTGCTGGAAGGCTTTAGCTCTGGAGCTCGGTGGTGTAACGTTACCTGTGAATGCTGTGCCCCAATGCCCACAGAAGAGGAATACCTCTGTTGCAAGGAATGGGACCGGTTGCAGCCTTAGCTAAATGGTAAACAACAAACATGGCAGCACACTGGTAAGGTAAGACAACACGTTTACATGTCGTTTTCTATATGTTCTCTGACATTTATCCTAACGATATGAGGCGGTCTTTGTGGAGAAAAAGCTTGTTTAGGAGACTAACTTTGCACTTGAAAGGATGCCTGTTCAATTACGTTTTAACAGGTCTGACGCTACGGCTGTATCTAGGCTAACAGCTAACATGCTAACTATTATTTCTATGTCACTAGTGACTTGAAAGAAATTTAGGACGATAGGAGACGGGTTGAAATAAACCGAAATTTCCCTTTAAGTGTCCATGTCTTAGAATTTGTAGCTCCTTTGCAGCAACATCCATATTTGAAGCATTGTCTACTGTCATGGCTACATAAGTCTGGACAGATATGGATGTATACTGCAACTTGACTGGTTGGTGGAGGCAAACAACCCCAAGACAGTAATTCTTGTTCTTTTATGTTGTGGCTCGAATGGTAGGTGGTATTGTGTTGTGGTTCAAGCTGCGTGCTTCAGGTGTTGCACTGTGTCATTTTCTGACAAAAGCAATTCTCAATGAGAAGACACTGTGAAGAAAAAAATATATGCCGGCAGTTATACTTGAATATTTGATAGCTTCATGAATAAAATGCTGGCAGGGTGAAGGTCAGATTTTATCCTGAGCTCCCATTAATTTCTCACCTTGGCGTATGTGTGTGTGTGGTTGTGTGTACATGCATGCATGTGTGTGTTTGTAGGGTCCTGCTGGGAAGGATGGACTTCCAGGTCACCCAGGTCAAAGAGGAGAACCGGTGAGTGAGGTCAAATTTCATGAGAGTTCATTAGAGGTCAGCAGTTACTGCATCGTGTCTTTCAGAAATGGTCTTTAACACACAGACACACACACACCAGAATATGTTTTCTACTCATCTTTTTCTGTGACTGCAGGGCTTCCAAGGGAAGACGGGACCTCCAGGACCATCAGGTGTTGTGGGGCCACAGGTGAGCTTAACTATGTGACCCCGTCCTGTCATGTAACATCCTACCACCTCCTACGCTGTGCGTCATGTCTGTATTGGTGTAACTGACCCAATCACTTGTGTGTGTTTCAGGGAAAATCAGGTGAATCTGGTCCAACAGGGGACCGAGGTCACCCAGGAGCACCAGGTGTACCTGGAGAGCATGGTTTACCTGGGGCGGCTGGGAAGGAAGGAGGAAAAGTGGGTCCACACAGTCACTCACTCATGAACACTGATCATCATCATCTTATAATAGAGTTATCGTTTGTGTTTTGATTGCGCAATGTTTTTTTAAGTTGTTGTTGGTATTGTTGTTGCTTCTCAGGGTGATCCAGGTTTACCAGGGACATTTGGAAAGAATGGTCCTCCAGGACTGAAAGGGTTCAGGGGGAGCAGAGGAGCCCCTGGAATTATGGTAAAGCACACAGAAACACACATACACACACACACACACAAATACACCAAACTCATTGCAAATCATTTATATTATAAATGATAGAAACTACATAGTGAATATTGTGTGTGATCTTTCCAGGGACCACCTGGGCTGAAAGGAGGGTCTGGACCTCCTGGATCACCAGGAGCCATAGTGAGTTACAGTACATCTCTTTTTGTGTAACTACAGTTCATGTTCAGGATGCCTTCCAAAATCTGTTTTTTGTTTGTGAAATGAAAGCATATTTCTCCAGCTGCATATGCTTTCAGTGCAATATTTTACACAAAACCGCTGAGACCATCACAAATTGATTCCCATGGAATACAGCAACAAATTCACATAAATAATCAACTTTTTTTCCCACTATTTTATGATGTTTTATAATTTATACCGGTATCAAACATTGTTATGACGGAGTTTTGTTGCATCCATCATTTTAGCCTTTTTTTTACATCAGTAGTTTTAAGTGCCCACCTTGTTTTGTCTTGTTTTGTAGGGGTCGACAGGTGAGAGGGGCCCTCCGGGATCAGCAGGTGCCATCGGACAGCCTGGTCGGGCCGGATCAATCGGAGGACCTGGACCAATGGGAGAGAAGGGCGAGCCTGTAATTACATCTCCTTTTTTCTTGTTTACTGTATTTAGTGTTTTTTTATTATGTGTTCAATTTAGATGTATTTCATTTTCAGTCACACCACAGTTCACTGACACTCTTTTACACTTTCAGCACATGAAGTAGAAGTTCATAATCAGTTTTAATAGAAAGAAAACGTCAAAGAAAATATCCATTTGGATCAGTTGTTCTTTAACATCTGTGTTTGTATATTTAGCTTGTATGCAGAAAAACACATGTCGAATGTGTTTGTGTTCCAGGGAGAGAAAGGTCCGATCGGACCAGCGGGTCAGGATGGAGAACAAGGACCTGTAGGGATGCCTGGGGCTACGGGCCCTACAGGACCTCCAGGAGACGATGGGGATAAGGTGAACTGTGTGTTTTTGCGAGTCCATGAAGCAAAGTGAGTGTTTGTTTGTACCGCGGTGATAACGTATGTGTCCTCTCTCTGTCTCGCTGTGTGTTAACAGGGAGAGCAGGGAGAATCAGGGCAGAAAGGCAGCAAAGGAGACAAAGGGGAAGCAGTGAGTCTGGAGCTTCACATCAACGTTGATTGTACTCCATAACCAGGACAGATCTGATCGTGTCTGAACGTCTCTCTCTCTGTCTCCACAGGGTCCTCCAGGTCCCACTGGCACTCAAGGTGTAGTTGGTCAGCCAGGACTTCCGGTGAGTCTGCTCTTTTCTTTGTATTCTGTTTACGTTTGTTCCGTGTCTTAAAAAACTGAAAAACCTCAAAGGGCACTGTAACATAAATATAATGAAAAGTTTGTAAATCCCTAAAGTATGACAAGTCAACATTTCTTACATTGAGGAAACCTAGTTGGATGCAGTATTTTTCACTCGCTCTGGCTTTTAAAACTCTGGTATAATTTTTTGTCTTTGACACATAAATAAATCACAAAATAATTTTTTTTTGCTCTTTTTTAACAACTATGCTCATTTGCTCTTTGTTGAAAGTCAGAGGAGTGTATTAACATCTCCCTCATGTCTGCCTGTTAAATATGAAGCTGGAAAACCCACTTATTAACACCTTAGATCTCAGTTGTTTAATCTGAACAAAGATCAAAGTGTAAAAAGTACAATACGTTGATTTGAGGGGGAGCTATGAGGTAGCCAGGCACCCTGCAGAAACTCCAGGAATTCACTGTTGTTGCCCAAGAAATAGGCCTCCACACAACCCCCCACAGAACCATGTTTTTACACTTAGGTTCTTCTACATATTAAAAGAAAACAGAGGTTCTGTTTGGCCCTGTTTACACCTGATATTAACATGCATTCTGTGCAATCAGATCAAAAGTGGACAGCTCTGAATACAGATATGAATGCACCCAATGTGTCTTGAGATCTAGTCACTTAAACCACATTCGTGCAGTGTGATTGCTTATGTGTCCTGGGCCACACTGAAGGACCGCCTCTCAGCTGACGTGACGGTGCGTGTACGTGTTACTCACTGAGAGAGGTGATCCTTAACAGCTTGCAGCATGATGGAATGACTTCCTTTGCGATTGAAGTAATCCTTTGCATAGTTGGAGGGCACAGTGATGGGGATATTAGAGCCATGTATTGCTCCCCCGTGTTGGGGAATCTCTCCTCGAAGCTATCCACATTCTCCTGCAGTCTTTCCCCTTGAGGCAAACTAATAAATTGGCACTGGAGTGTGCATTTACCTCCTGCCAGTTTTAAAACAACACATTTGGTCTTTAGAAACAAAAGCGATGTAGCTATGTGTTTATTTGCAAATAGAGCAATGAAGTGAGATTGATCACATGCGGGATATCAGGGATTGGATGTGCTACTTGTGAAACTACTGATCTTTAAATTAATAATTTGATGCTGATATCAGTGGGGTTTTGTTGTTGTTTGTTTTTTCATACAGCACACCAGCTCCTCCAAATATTAATGACAAAAATCACTGGTACCTCACAGAGTACTTCCTAGAAAGATGCCTGTTTTTCTCTGTAAAGCATTTCCACCTTGTTGCATCTCAGTCCATTTCTCTTTTCATCAGAGATGTGGGACGCAGCTCTTAACAGCTGCTCACTGAAAGCAAACATGAAAACAAACCACACGTGTGAATGCACCCGTTACCCTCTTAAACGTCATGCCAGAGTCGGTGTTAAGCTATGCTGCTGGCTGTAGCTTCATTTTTACCTGACAGACATGAGAATGGTATCAGTCTTCTTATCTAACCCTCGGCAAGAAAGCAAATTAGCCTATTCCTCAAAATGTGACCTTTAGCTGCACTAGTAAGTGTAACCAAAAAGTCCAATCTATAAAAACATCACACATTTTTTTCTGCCAGTCCTATCAAATCATAATTATTCATAATTGATAAAACATTAGTACTTTGTGTTGATCCTTTACTGTTTATTGTCTGGCGCAACCCATTTCAGCAGAAATGACATCATAGGGAATAGGGAGTTAAATAAAACATTTCATGGAGCGTTTAATCATTTAAAAGTCATGAAGAAACTCACTCCTCACTCTGCTGCTCTGTGTACCAGGGTGTAGATGGACTGCGGGGGCCCCGGGGCCAGCAGGGCATGTACGGTCCAAAAGGAGATGAAGGACTCCGTGGCTTCAAGGGTTCTAGAGGACCAATAGGATTACAGGTGAGATTTGCACAGCAGTCATGGTGCAGATTGATAAAGTGATGTCTTCTTAATAGATGGAGTGAACTTGGCTCTCTGTGGTTTAATCCTCTAATCCTGTGTGTGTGTTTTCTCAGGGCATGCCTGGGCTACCAGGAGAGAAGGGTGAGAGTGGACATGTGGGGCTAATGGTGAGCTCATATCCTGTTTAAAGACATGTTCCTTACTTACATCACATTATTCTTCATTTACACAAATTAATGAACTAATTATTATTAATTCTTCCTTGTTACACACCTGGTTTTAGGGTCCACCTGGTCAACAAGGCCCCACTGGTCCTCAAGGACCTATTGGGGGACTGGTAAGTCTCACTTATGTTCATGCATCCTCATATGGTCAGGCAGTTGTTTTGAATTTGGAAAATACTGATCTCCCCTTTGTGTTGTGCAGGGTCCAACTGGTCGAGTTGGGATGATAGGACAGCCAGGTATTGTTGGAGAGAAGGTAAATAAACAGACAGTTACACCTCCTGCATGCATATTGTCTCTTTCTGGATGCGTTACACAAAATGTCTTTGTCTCTCAGGGGGAGGATGGTGAGGCAGGTGACCCTGGAGCAGTTGGTGTTCCAGGAAGGCCAGTGAGTTTGCTCTCTTGATCAAAGACGTCTTCAAACTAGCTCCCACCATCTGCAGTTTTTAAGCTTTTCTCGCTCTGCTCCTCTGCTCCAGCCCTCTTAATCTCTCACTCTGCTCCTTTACTACTTTAGGGAGAAAAAGGAGACCAGGGGGAGAAGGGAGATACGGGCCCTCCAGGAGCAGCTGGTCCTCCAGGTGCCAGGGGCACCACAGGAGAGGATGGTGCTAAAGGCAACTCTGTAAGTAAAACCACTCTTCAATACCGCACTGTAGTGTACAACACAATGCAACACAAAGCTCTGTAATACACTTTTAACCTACATTATACTATACAGTACACTTAGATACAGTTTTTACCTCCCTGGAGGGGCTTAACACAGTAACTACATATTTAAGTTAAGTTAAAATCAAGTTAAGACCTGATTATGATATTCTGACATCTGTTTTTACTATAGGCTATAAACAATATTATACCATAATAATGTATCAACCCCGTAAAAACAGCTTTTTGAATTTGAATTAGCTACGAAACTGAGCTAAAAACTGAGGCAAACTGCAGATACTGAAATCTGCTTTGGTAATCTTTGGCCTCTGTGAGCTGCTGTTACTGCACTCTTTACCACAGAGAGATAAACAGCCAAAGACAGAGAGCTACATAAGGTGAAAGTTGGCTGTTGAGCAGCTCCAGGTTGTCTCAGCTAAGGCTGAAATTAAATTTACTTTTTTTTTCCCCCAGAGCTGTTATCTATAAAAGAAAAATCCATTTCATTGAACTGACAGCTCAGTATACCACGTAACTGAATGACATTGTGGCAAAATCCAAGAATGAAAATAACTTGCTTAGTTTGTGCTAAAGCTAAGTAGCTTAGCAGATCCCAATAACTGCCATCTTGGCTTTCGACAAATGAAATTCATACAGTTGGGTGGTTAATAATTGTACAGTATTATTTTTATATTCATTTTAATATAAATACAGATAATAGCAGAAGGATCTATGGATTTCAAATCAAAATAAAGTTTATTTTTCTTACACAAACAAGTAGGAAAATGGACAAGTAAGCTGAATGAGTACATTTTGTTGGTATACTGCATCTTCCTCTTCAATTCCATGAACATTATCCAAAGGCACAGTGCATTGTCAGCATTTCTTAGTTATTATGGAGGCTCTGTGGCAGTGTTTTTATGCCTCCGCGCCAACTATAGCCGTAGTCACAGGTATTGTGTTTTCGGGTTGTCTGTCCGTCCATACATCGGTCCCATTCTCTTAAATGCGATATCTCAAGAAAGGCTCAAGGGAATTTCTTCAGATTTGGCTAAAGCATCCACTTCGACTCAACAATAAACTGAATAGATTTTAATGGTCAAGGGTCAAGTGAACACGATATCTGAAGAACACCTACATGGAATTTTTTTTTAAAATTTAGCAGAAATGTCCCCTTGGACTCAACGATGAACTGATTCGATTTTGGTAGTCAAAGGTCAAGGTCTCTGTGACCTTGAATCTGTCTCATTCTCATGAAAGTGATATCTCAAGAACACCTTAATGGAATTTCTTCAAATTTAGCTCAAACGTTCACTTTGACTGAAGAATAAACGAATTGGAATTTGTTGATTGAAGTCAAAGGTCACTGTGATCTTACAAAACATGTTTTTGGCCATAACTTAAGAATTCTTACGCTAATTATGACAAAATTTAAAAAACACAAATGTCTGGATATAATGATGAAGAGGTGACGTTCTATATCCAAAGGTCAAAGGTCAACTTCACTGTGGCATCATAATGTTCTGCATACATCATGTAACTGGCCATCACTCAACATTACATTTCAGGAACAGAAAGGGAGACATTTAGTCGGACGCTAAATTGGTGACACTAATCTTCGGTGTCCACCATGAAAGTGCACTGATTGTATAGATCTGTGTTGCTGGGGAAAAGATGTGTGTGAAGCATCCATGTGTTCACAGACATGGATGTAAACTGTCAGAGAAACTTGACTGGTGCGTGGAGGCATACAACTGCGGGGCGGCAATTCTAGTTTGAGTGAAATAATCAGCCCAAAAAGACATAAATACTGTACTAGCTCAAACTGTCTCTCTTCTCAGGGTCCTCCTGGTCTCACCGGGGACCTCGGACAGCAGGGGGAGGCGGGACCCAATGTGAGTACCTGCTCTTTCTTGTCATCTTCCTCTTTCTCTCCTTCTTCTTCTTCTTCTTCTTTTAAGAATTTTAAGATTGGACAATGGTAGAAGGAAATGTAGAATGAGTGAAACTTTTAAATTAAAAAAACATCTGAGGTCAATATTTGCACATCACTTTGTATATACAACAAAAAAAATTTTTTGAAAAGTTTTAGAGAGGAGGTTTTGATTTTAGTATTTCTTTTTGTGAAACTGCCTGGCAGTTTTATTAATTTTCTTCAATATGTTGTATCACTGTGTCAACATCAGCATCACATCTCTAGTAATACAAGTTTTCTAAATTAAAAACTTTCATGTTGCCATGAAAACATCCTCAACTTTATTTTCTGGTGCAAACGAAGTGTAGTTTTCCTCTGCCCACTGGTTTTCTTTCCTCATCAGGGGGTGGACGGTCTGCCTGGAACTAAAGGAGACACAGGAGATCCTGGGAAATCTGTGAGCTTCTCCCTTCTGCATCATACACCATAATGTTCATGATGTTCATTAATTTATATAATAAAAAGATGCTGACACCATACAGTGCAGCGACTGGCCATGTAATAGTTTCTTTACATTTCTCAGGGACCACCAGGAGCAACAGGGGAACCTGGACCATCTGGACCTCCAGGACGAAGGGTTTGTGTGTTTTTTTGTTAAGTAAAAGATTAAACCCTCTTCTCCTGTTGGGATATTGAGGGTATTTTTCTTAATGCATTCTCACAGTGTGTGTGTGTTTGTGCATCTGTGTGACAGATTCAGGTTAAAATGTTTTAAAATGTTGTTCTTCAGGGCCATTTGGGGAAACCAGGCAAGGAAGGAAAGGCAGGCTTGAAAGGAACAAAGGTGAGAGTTCAGAACAACTCTTTGAATAATAACATCTAAATGCTTACAGCTTCTGAGGGTCACCCTGCTCTCCATTTGTTTCAGGGTGCACCCGGTTTGGAGGGTCCTATAGGGAAGACAGGGCCTGTAGGTGCCCAGGGACATCCTGGGAAGCCTGGCCCCCAAGGCTTAAGAGGGATCCCTGGCCCTGCAGTAAGTCAGAGAGCGAAGAATGAAATCAGTTGCAGTGGAGCATAGAAAATAAGGAGATGACATTATTTGTGTCTTTTGCACAGGGTGAGCAAGGTTTAAATGGACCACCTGGCCAGACAGGACCACCAGGTCCCATGGTAAGATGACTCATCAAACATAAAAAAAAACCTCTCAAATGAGAAAAGAAAAGTATTTCACTGAGAGTTAAAAGAGAGTATGAAAAGAAAAATACTGATTTTACATTCTAAGCTGTTAAAATAGTAGAGCTGTTGCAGGATGATCCTTTACTATCAGATATTTTCTGTCAGAGTGATAACTAAATAAGTTTTTTATGCACCTGCTACATTTCAACCTGCATGTGACCTCATCATAAGTTCATCTCCTCAGGGTCCACCAGGATTACCAGGTCTAAAGGGAGACCACGGCAAGAAGGGAGACAAGGTACGTACATACTTAACGCACATAAACACTCACTCTGACCATGACCTAACTTTGACCTTGAGCTTGTTTGTGACATCTGCGCAGGGTCACGGCGGTCTAATAGGTCTGATAGGGCCGCCAGGAGACATCGGGGAGAAGGGAGACAGAGGGCTGCCAGGAAACCAGGGACTGCCAGGTCCGAAAGGAGATGAGGTGCTGAAAATATACACAAACATGTACACAAAACCCTGGAACTAGGTTGGTTTGTGGGTTCTGTCATTATGTTAAGTTTGCAGCTGTGGGCAGAATTTGATACAGTTTGATACACGGCATGGTTTTATATTCATGAGTCAGAATGTTTTTTCTGTAGAGGAGGAAACACATGAAATAGAATTTCTTTAATTACATTAATGTGAAGACACCCAATAACACTGAAGTGGTTTATGGGCCGTAATTCTTGCTGTAAAAATCAAGGCACTCAAACGTAAGCATGTGGTCATTAAGTTAATGAAATTAAAAGGTAATGGATCTGTATTGCTCCTATTTTATTACAAAGTCATGACAGCTAATAGTTAGGATATTATATCATGTTGCTGTTACCAGATATGTTACCTTCTGTGGGTTGAACAATGTCTATGCATAGTTTTTCTTCCAGCTCTGACTACAGTATATAGACTGGGCTAACCTGACTAGCATGAGTTAGCTAACATAAAGCAACTGAGATATTGTCAAAGCTTTTCAGGTGAAACTTTTTAGGTTGCTATTAACATTGTAATTACTGTAAACATTATTATTTGATTCAAAGATTGTAACACCATGCATGAACATGCAGTACAGAACCTTGCTTATGCTTATGTGGTGTGTGTTCCTAAGCAACATTCAGATTAATTAAGTTAACAAAACCAAGAACATCAGTTTGACACACAGCAAATAGCTAGTGAATGTTGTGGTAACTTTTAAATTCGGTATGATGACACCACCTCATTTTATCAGAGGTTTCAGATACTTTACGGAAAGTTAATTTTTATTGAGGTACATACACCCCGATTAGATTTATCCATGGGGACCCCCAGCATAGAGTCCTGCACGGGTGCAGTTTTACAAACCCGCACCCACCTGCATCTGCACAGCTCAGTACCAGAACCAACCCATTACTCATAATTATTTCCAAGTCAATTCTGGACCCGGCCCTAACTAATAATTTTAATTCCCGTCACCTAACTGGTAATTAAACACACTGTTTTGCCTCTGCGTCTTTTTGCATAATGTGCTGTCCCATTCATACATGCAAAGCACCTTCTCAGTCAGCTCCCACTTGCCGTTGATGTAATGTGAAGTGACACAAAGATAACAGGTTTTGTGATTATTATCTGTCCATATACCCAAAGTAACTGCCCCGTTGCTGTCAGTCTGCTGCTTCTTCAGCTTCAGAGTGACATTTCGTCTAACGTCCTCTGCATATTTTGTCAGTCTACCGTGTAATACAGTTATCGGATCAGGTAGAATCTGCTGAGTGTCCACACTGGATGCATGGGTACCCAACCTAGTTTAGGACTTTGCTCCAGCTGGTTAATCCACCTTTAAAGGATAAAGCTGGCAATAATCTGTATTTTTCTGTTTGTCATCACAAACAATGACTTTGTAGTATCTACTTCTTCTCTTGATCTGACAATTTTGTTTGTGTTTAATATCAGGGTCCAGTTGGTCCAGCAGGTCCCCCCGGCCCCCCTGGCCCCACGGGTCTGTCTGTAAGTATACAAGATAATCTTGACATAACATGCAAAAATGTAGGCACCCTTTTTAGCATCAGGATTACTGACACATCTTCCCTCTGTATTTTTTTTAACTCTTTACCTCTCTCACAGGGTGCCATTGGTATAAAGGGCTCTAAAGGAAACCAGGTAACCATGATGCTCATTGTGTTTTTAGACTGAAGTAGTCCGTACTATTACATCCTAGCCTCATACCTCTACCACCCTTAAGTGATCCCTTTGCTCTGTGTGTATTTAGGGTCCAATAGGTCCCAGAGGAGACACTGGGCCCGCAGGACCTCCAGGACCACCAGTAAGTTTTACCTAGACAAATTTAATTAAACAACCTTACAGTTCTCATTAACTTAAAATTATCAGAAAAAAACATCTGTTTCCTACGCTGCTTCCTTAACTTTTCCAACACCTGTATCTGCCCTCTCTCCTCTCCTCACCTCGCCTCTCCTGTCCTCTCCTCTCTGCTCCTCTCCGCTCCTCTCCGCTCCTCTCTGCTCCACAGGGACAGCCAGCAGCTGGGATGTCCCCTCTGCCAGAGCGAGGACGGAGAAGGAGAGCCCACTCCTTGGTGGATGGTGCTGCATTTGAAGAGGAGGAGGAGGCGGAGGCGATGGATGGGGGAGAGGAGGAATGGATGCAGAGAGACCAAGCGGAGCAGGATGGTTGGATGAAGGAGAAGCAGGGCCAAGGCATGGAGGAAGTGTTTGCGTCTCTGTCCTCTATGAAAGTGGAGGTGGACGGTCTGCGTAACCCACTAGGGACATACCACAGCCCTGCGCGCACCTGCAAGGAGCTTTGGTTCCTCCACCCACAGCTCCCTGATGGTACTTTATCAGTTTGTGTCTCCAGCCATTTGCTTATCACAGCTGTCTGCCTGCATGTGTTGACTCATTTTATCTATATTTCTTCTCAGCTGACTGTGTGTCTGCCTCTGAATCTGTTATCGTCTGTGCGATTATATCTCTGTTTTTGTTGTTGACAGTAGTATTAGCCTTGAGTTTTTTGACCCCTCTGTCCTCCTCTCCTTTTTTTCTCTCTCTTGCCAGGTGAGTACTGGATAGATCCCAACCAGGGTTGCCATAGAGACTCCTTCAAGGTGTTTTGTAACTTCACTGCACATGGAGAGACGTGTCTGTACCCTGACAAGAAGTTCCAGTCGGTTAGTTTGCATGCAGAAACACACACACTTGCATTTTTTGAGCAGCCGTTAAAAGCAAAAAGGAGCCTTTGCCAAAAGCTTAACAGCTTCTCAGAAAGAGATTTAACATTATCTAGTCATCTGTGTGTTGATTCAGAACTGGACACTGATTTTTTTGTTTGTTTGTTTGCCATCAGGTGAAGTTAGCAGCCTGGAAAGGGGAGAAGTCCGGCACCTGGTACAGTAAATTCAGGAAAGGACGGCAGGTACAGTGAGAAGATTTTACTTGAGTGTAAACCAGTGTGTGTTTTAAATACAAGACTTCAAATGAGAAATAGTTTAATCACTGCTGCAAATGTGGGACGTATTTGGTTGAATGCTAATTAGCAGCATTTGTCAGCTATACAGAGGCACTCAGTATTTTATTAAGTGAGTTTTCAAAGCAGCATCTAAAACATTTGGCAGACGCTGATATTCAAAGTGTTTGACTGAGATGAATCAGATCAACTAAAGTCAGAAGTTTGGCAGCAGCCAGATCATATCAGTGATGAGCTGACCACACATATTTTTTTTCTGTTTTAGAACCAACTTCCTTGCTTACAATGATGCATTGATGGGGTAGGAGTAAAGTTCCCATCCACCACAACCCTCGGTCATGTATTCTGACAAACTAAATTGAATGAGGTTAAAGATTCTCGTCCATTTCGCTGCACTGCAAAAGCAAAAGAAGTGTTAGTAAGTGATAGTTAGGTGAGGGCCACAAATTACTGCAATGAAAACTACTCCTTATCATGGCAAGTAAAACTAAACAAAGGGCTGGCAGTTCCCACCAGAACAGGCAGCATGTTTTTGAGGGCTAATGAAAGTCTGCATGTGAAGATGGCGAGTCGCTCTGCAGCCCAGATCTCTCCCAGGGCTTACATAACCGCAGAAGAGAAAACAAAATAGTCTTGGGGAAATTTTGCAAGGAGTTTTGTGTGAGGACGGCTGTGGGCGAGGAGTAGATCGGAAATATTTTGCTCCAAAGGAAGGAACGTGGTTGCCTGGAGGAAAACAGGTGCTGGTCCGCTCTGGGCTTTAAAAAAAACCCTTTTAAACATTATGTCAGGAGTTGCAGTCTTGAGAAACATGTCCTCATAAAGACAAACAAAACAGAGATTAACAGCAAAACTAACAAACAGTGACAGCGATGATTAACATATTCAGTATAATTGGAGTGGTTGAGAAAAACTCATAATTAGCATTTAACCTTGTACAGTGTGACACAGTGTTGTAGAGGTGTTACAACAGTGATATAGGGATTTCAAAGCCATTCCTCATGAACTTTATTGTTGGAAAAACCAGAGTATTATACTTATTATGCTCATTTCCTGGTTCATAATTGTATTTTGGGTTACTCTTGTACAACATGTTTAGACACTTTAATAGTCAAAAGCACTTTATTTTCTTCACACTGTCTGTACTGGAACACCCGTAATCACCTGTATTAACATACACACATATGTACACATTACACATATATTCAATGTCTTCACATGATTTCATGTAGCTACATGTAGCAGTGTAAGCTACTTAATGTCAACACTTGCAATTAAGTGGCAACTCATAGAGATTACTTTTACGTATGTTTACTTCATTATTTAAAATTGTGGCCACCGGCACTATAACATTATATATAAGTGGCTCCAGGGAGGGTCTGTTGGTCAGTCCACCGCTTTAGTTTAGACTGAAATATCTCACGAAATATTGGATGGGTTGTCATGAAATTTTACAAATATTAATGGTCTTCGTTGGTCTACTGACTTTGGTGATTCTCTCATTATACCTCTAGTGCAGGTCAACATATTTTCTTATTGTGTTTATGTTTTATATGTCTGTGCTGGCTACAGCTGTGGCCAGAGGCATTATGTTTTCAGCTTAGGAATCCCTTGAGGGAATTTCTTCAAATTCGGCAAAAACACCTGCTCGGATTTAAGGATGTACTGATTATATTTTTTGGTGGTCCAAGGTCAAGGTTATTGTGTCTTCATTAAACATGTTTTTGGCCATAACTCAAGAATTCATATACTAATTATGACCAAATTTCACATGAATGTCTAACAGGATAAAATGATGAAGTGATGACATTTTATATCCAAAATGTCAAAGGTCAAATTCACTGTGACATCATAATGTTTTCTGGCCTTTATTCAACGCTGTAACTCAGGATCAGAAGAGGAGACATTTGGTCAGATACTGAATTGATGGCACTAATTTTGGGTGTCCATCTTAAGATGTGATTGTATAGATCTTTTGTGCTGCAGCATTGAAGATTTGTGTGAAACATCAGAATTTTGCCAAAAAATACACTTTATACCGTTTATTAAATGTAGACAATTGTGTAGACAATTGTAATGATCGCCTGATTTTTCATGAAGGACCACGATTAGGACAAAGCTGCACACAGCATCATAAACCTCTCGGTCCCTAAAACAGTATGCCCCAGGTGTTCATCGAAATTGTGCTGCTTTAAGATGCTAGGATGGTGTACCCATATGTACCTTTCCCTTTGTTATTTTAGCCTTATAAAAATCTGGTAGAGTCCAGGTGTAATGCAAATTTGTAGTGATAATCCAGAGTTTGTTTTCTTGCACTTGATTTAATTTAGGTTGAAATGTGCACAATTTACAGTGTACGCAGCTACCCTTCTGTATACTTTACATGTGTGTGATTCTGGCGTTCTCCCCCAGATTACCTACAGCGGGTCAGACGACATTCCAGTCCACGTGGTCCAGTTGACCTTCCTGCAGCTGTTGAGTGCGACAGCCAAGCAGACCTTCACCTACCACTGCCTCAACTCTGCCGCCTGGCTGCATGCCGCCACCCACAGCCACGAGCATGCACTGCGCTTCAGAGGCGCCAACGGGGAGGAGCTGACACACGAGAACACACATTACATCACTGCACTGTATGACGGGTGTCAGGTGAGTAACACAGATATACTGTACTTGCGAGTGTGAACACCTAGATTTGTTTTCTGATTGTTCGATGTGTTTCTGTGCCACAGACGCGCTCAGGGCAGGAGAGGACGGTGTTGGAATTTGACGCTCCACTGTCCAACACGCTCCCCATCATTGACGTGGCTGTGCCTGATTTTGGGAAGGGGAACCAGAAATTTGGTTTCCAAGTCGGCCCGGTCTGCTACAACGGTTAACCATGCCGGGAGATTTACAACAAGAATAATTTAATAGGAAAAAGAGCCATGGACACTTTTTACATGCAGGGAGAAAACTACATTCAAGACTTACCTGGTGCCACATATTTATAAGTTGATTTACCTACAACAGTGTTCTTCATCCACACATTCACTTTTTTTATACAGACATTCATTCACTCTCTTTAGTTCACCTTAGTCATCTCATACATTCACTGTGTTTTCAGGAGCAGTGCATATTGACTGTCAACCACATCCTCACTTACACATTTTGTTTTCCTGTCATTCCTCTTTGAAGGAGTGAGTGGTGCTCTCACTGTCCCATCCATGTCTGCTCATACATTCATTGATCTATGCACTCAATAATAACATATTCATAACCATACACAAGTCTCCAGACATTATGAGTCATGTTCAGAAACACCATATTTTAGCAACATTCACCCACCATGTGGTTCTGCAATGTCATCATACCTCAATTTTCTGTGTTGTTTTTGTTTGTTGTTGTCATTGTTGTTATAATTATCTGTTATGTGATGTATATTGGAGTGTAATTCATCACGGTGCTATTATGTGGCTCCCTGTGGAGTACATTTCTTTGTAAAAGGGAACTGGGGCAGTGCATTTTTTTATATATATATTGTGAAGCTGTGTTTTATATTTTTTCAACATAACAAAACCAAACTGTGGTACATGATTGCCTCGAGGTCTTTCTGTGCATAGTTGTGTGGGGAAGTGACTGAGTAACATATTTTAATAAAAGTACATAATGTACATTTAAGTTAATATGATGACATTAAGTTTTATTGAATGCATTTGTGAAGCAGTGCCAACAGAGAAAAGGTTTGAGGAGCAGAGAGAGAGACACCATCTGCTGCTCTCCAACCAGGGAATTCATTCAGTGAGCTCTTTTTAGGTCCGCACTCTAGTCTGTTTCTACTAATACACACACTGCACTTCTCTTACTGTTGTGACATATGGTCGCATGATGGCTACATACAGTGTAAGGGCATGGGCACACATGAGCAAAATGAACACTGGTGAATATTTGCCTCCATTCAGTGTGAGCGAAGGAAAGAAGAAAACATTTGTTCTCATTCATAGCATTTGTTTCGATGTCTCACTATGGGATACGCCTCCCTACATATAAGACCATCTTCATCAGCTGGCATGCTAACTGATATAAACCTTACCATGACGGGTAGACTGTGTGACATTCCAGTCTATGGTGAAGACCAGACGGTTGAAGTGTATTGGAGGCAGGTAGCACCCGGCGATGGAGCTGTTAGCTTATGGCTTGGAAAGTGGACAGTGAAGCTAGCTAGGCTATGTTATAGATTGAGATATGCTCCGAAGCGTGAAGAGGTGTTTGAATAATGCTGTGTTGTAGCGCAGGCAATTTAATGCTAGGTGGATACACTTGTTGCTGACGTTGCAATCACCAGCCAATCAGGTCTGGCTTAATGAGATAAATGCTTTTGAGAAATATGCAGGGAGGCGTATCCCATAGTGAGACATCTCACTCATGCTACTCTCAGAACCGGGGTTACACAAGTAACCTAAAGTTTCTGGTGGCAAAGCAACACATGATCACATGGCATGGAGTTCATCTGTGGTGAACTTTAGGAAGTCGCAGCCTCAATCAGTAACAAAGAAATATGTGTGGAGAAGATAACAATTGTTGCTTTGTTTAAACAGCTGATAGTGTATGATAAATTGATAATAGTCACAAAAAAATACAAACTGCCCCACATGAGAGTGTGCTCACTGCCTCACTGGTAGTGAGCTGGCAGACAGGATAGAACGTAAGAAAATGGAAATGTACTAATAACATCATATTACAGAGTGTTTATTAGCAAGCTAGCCAGCATCAGCAAACAAGTTGGCTTTCCATTTCCATCACATCAGTCACTGCCCACATTCAACATGAATATTGCCTCGGCAGGCGATGGTCACTTGCCTGTATTCGCTCATGTGTGACTGTACCCTAATGCATGTCTGTTAAAAACAATTTTTAGGAACGGCAATGTCAGTCAGTCCACTTACTTTAAAATATTTCAACAACTATTGTGAAGATTGCCATGAAATTTCCGTCAGACATTCGTGGTCCCCGAATTGTTGAGAAGAAATCTTGGCTTGGGGGAAGGTATCAAGTGTTTTCAAGCCAAAAAGGCTCAAATCCAAGTGAAGTCACGAGTCATTTGTGTTTAAGTCCAAGTCAAATTGCAACTCTTTTTCGATTTTGTCAAGTCAAGTCTAAACTCACCAAATTTGTGACTCGAGTCCAGGTCATGTGACTCAAAACCTGGGATTCTGATCCAGATTAAATTTTTTTTGGCCCTGGAAGAAGCATACCAATTTAAGTGATCCCTCTTTCTTAAAGTGTCAGCATGAGGTTGAGATGTTTGTATTTTAGTTAAATGTCTCAACAGCTATTTCATGGATTGTTATCAACAAGTGTTCGTGGTGCAGAGATGGTTGATCCTAATGACTTCCTCTGACCACAAACAAGTTGATAATGTTTTTTTAAGTAAAATGTCTCGACAGCTATTTGGAAGATTTCAGTTAAATTTGATACAGGCATTAACATTCTCAGGATGAACTGTAAAAACCGATAATCTCTTGGATGTTTTCATCCAGCACAGCTTTGCCTTAGTAAAACCTCACAGAGCCTCAATGGCTGTAAACTTGTCCTGTCAGATCTGCATTTGATTTATTGTTTCTGCTATTCCTATAGCATTTTTAAGATGGTTTTGGGGTATTTGATGACCATATAAAAGCATATCAATAAAAAGATGGAGTAATATGACAATGCACCAAATGGCTGTTTAAAAACCTGTATTCTGAAAGGTCAGAGAAATAGATTGGGGCCAGTCCATTTAATGCCTTGTAACTGATCAGGAAGATCCTGAAATATGTATTCTTAAAGCAACTGGACGCCAGTAGAGGGATGATAAAATGTACGCTCTGTGTTCCAGATAAAAGCCCAGTGACTATTTTGAACCAGCTCCAAAGTGCTTTGTTTAAGTGCAGAACATGGGGAGTATAAATTGAAATAAAGGCATAAATAACTTTCTTTAGGTCGGCAGCACACAGACCCCTTGTTCAAATGTCAAATTTGAGTTGAAGATAATTCCTACATTCTGGCAGGAAGCTTAAACTGGGATGGCGTGAGGCCAGGCTTTTCATTAATTTCCACTCTCAAGTGAAATTGTGTCTAAGGTGTGTGTGTGTGTGTGTGTGTGTGTGTGTGTGTGTGTGTGTGTGTGTGTATGTGTGCAGAAAATGTGCTAGTATTCTGTATTCATTTTGTCCTACAGCTTGAGGATACATCACTCATATTCTCTCCTCCTGCCCCAGTCATCCGTCATTCACCCTTTTTGATGACCTCTCTCTCTGTTCCTCTGTCTATCCTCCTGACATCTGCAGTACAGCCAACACTGGAGAAAATGATGCTGAAACTTTAATGAGACGAAGCAGATGAACACCACAAGTGTTTAACCGCTAATTTTTTAGCAATTAAATATAGATGGTGTGACATGAATGTCAGTTACATAGTAGTTAAATACACCCACAGTGGCAGCAAGCTTGGGAAGGGGCATATTTGAGGTTATGCTCTTTGAGCTTCCACCCAGGGAAGGTTCAACACTGTTCAATATTTGATTTCTTTTTTGTGTACTGAAGATAGATGTCAAGTGTCCACAGAGATCATGTGAAAGCCAAGAAAGACAGTAAAGAAATTTTGTCTCTTCATTTATCTTAAACAACTAAGGGACTGTTTTTTTTTCGGAGAGGATTTCTGTTTGTGTTATTTTTTTATTTTTATTTTTTTTAGCACGATTTTTAAAGAAAACATGCCTTTTCAAACCCATGCTATGAATGCTTCAGTCACGAAAAAAAAAATAAATTCAAGTTTAAATAATGATATTTCATCAAATAACTTTATTTTACGTCTCATTTAAAATTTGGCCCAAAATAAACTGTTTGCACTTACTAACCAGCATGCAAGACAAGAGGAAAAAAATGAGTTATTTCGAATTAAAAAAATAAAAAAATAAAAAAGGTAGTCAAACCCAGTCCTCCTATGACAGGTAGAGAACTGTCCCTAACGTATTAACGTTTAAATTAGCAGTGTGGCTAATGGTAGCTAATGATAATAAGTGGTAACTGAAATATCTGGACATAGCTAACGTTATTGAATAGCTAAACGTAAGGTGATGCAGACATTTATGGTCCTCAGAGATTAAAATAATAATTTTGGCGATTCTCTGACCTCAACCAGGCGTCAACAAAAGTAGGTAAAACTTTCTTTCTAACATGTTACAGCTAAATACTTGATGTTAAGGATTAGCATGTAGCCTCAGCTAGCTAGCTCTAAGAAGACCTAGCTTAAAGTACAGTTTATCCCACAGCAACGGTTAGAATATTCTCCCGTTTTTTACTTCATGACATGGCAAATGTACGAAAATGAAAAATAATAATAATATTCTGTGTAATACCTTCTATATATGTATGTATGAAAACTGTCTAATACTCATACAGAAGCATAAAGCATTCATTCGGGGTTTTTTCAGATTATTATCCAAAAATTCAGAGAAAATATTTTATGGGGAAAAAATATTTGCTCTGTTTTTCTGAACTGTTGTCTTATGATCCTGAGAAAGGTTTTTATGAAAAGGAAAAAAAAGTGTTTTGTTTCTCTGAATTCACAAGATAATCTCCTATATATATTTTTTTTTAATTAAAGAGATAATAATAATAATCTCAGTAATTATTTTTCTCCATGAAAACTTTTCATAATTTTGACATAATTATCTTGTTAATTTGAATTTTCTGTTATCAAGTGAACACATTACGCCTCCATATTCACACTCTATTTCATTTTAATGTTTTTCTTTTGTCAGATAATTCCTGATTTATACCGTTATTTAAGTAGTTATAGACTTTTTCTTTTGGCAAAGATCTTCTATAACTTCTGTTTTTAGGAAACATTAAGGCTATCATTTAAAAAATTTGACATCTTAACATTTGTAAAACAGGGCACAAAAAATTGTTGATTAACTGTTTATATTCCGCAAAGGGTTTGAAAAAATATATTGTTTTGAGATTGGTACTGAAACTCATTTATTGCATCAGCCCTACTGTTACAGAGAAGGACTGCAGCTAATTTTTATTGGCAATTACCTGCTGAATTAATCATTTAAATGGTTGATGTGTGTCAGAAAATGGGGGGAATGCAGAAAAATGCAAATTCCTATAGCCTCAAGTCACTGTATTAACATTGCTTGTTTGGTTTGAACAACAGTTCTAAACAAAAGTCAGTTATTATCACATTGAACAAATAAAAGCAGCAAATCCTCAGGGACCAGAACTGGGGACAGTTTGTTATTTTCCCCAGCCATATCTTTACAGCACAACACAGGGCTCGAAATAAAACTGGCATTATTTTTGCACTACTCGTCTTGCTCATGTTAAACACAAGTTCATGAGGCCAAAACAACAGTGTTATCTCACATGCAATCTATCACTTACAAGTGCACCTACACACCCATTTACAAACTGTATCCACTGCCTGTGTTGACGTAATAGAAAATCATCCTTTTCTCCAACTCCTCCTCCCCTACATCCCCCTCTTTCACCTTCTCTAAGACTGTTGTCCTCTCCAGTTGGCGCCTGAGTGGCTCTCCTCAGCATGCAGCCAACACCAGGACTGTGTTCCTCTTCCTCAGCCAGAGGGGATTCAGCCAGTCCAGTCCAGCCACGACTGTAGTCCATAACCCTGAGGCTAACTAAGGGAGGTGTACAGTCCCCAGTGGTACCTGAAGCAGACGCCAGAGCCTCTCCTAAGTGCTCTGCAGGGTCATAGCCTTTTTCTTTTTCTTTTTCATGCCTGTGGTGAGCCAAACCTGGGTCAGGACTCGGGAGACCAAAAGGAGAGAAAGTGATGGAGATGGGTCCACCTGGAGCCTTTTGGGTGCTGCAGCTGCTGTTTACTGTCTGCTCATGTAAGGTAAGAAGATGCCCCCACCTCCAACTTCTGATCTCTGTGCTGGAACATCACAAGCTAGAAAACTTGCAGTTTTTCCAACTTTACATCAGATGTCCAGGGATGAAGTTGATGGAGACTAATTTATAATCTCCCACTGTGGAGAGATGAAGTCCTCTTTTTTTTCAGATAATCATTTCTAACTGAGTATTTGTGCTGGGCTTTCAAAGCATAGAAAAGTGAAGTTTAGGGTGGTAATACACACTTTGGCAAAGCACCTTTTTTGCCTCTTTAAATTCCCAAATTTAAAGCTTGCACTTGTTTGCGTTGGAGATGTATTTATATCTCTTTGAAAAAGCACGCCTTGTAAAAAAAAAAATTCCCATTTGTTTTCACCCTGGGTCTTTGAGTCTTTCTACACCGTGTCCAAAGAAATGAAATGCTTCATGCATCGACAGCATAAAAAGGACTAGATAAATATAATATTTGTTGCCAGAGGAGTTCTTGCCAGCATCTTCAGAGTCTTCCTTCCAGTTACTCCTAAAATCACATTATTATAAATTTTTTGGGGGCTTTGCACACAGAGAAATCATCGTTATCTTTCATTGTGCAGTTTAACGTGCCTTCTTTGGGCTCATTGTTGCGGCTGATAAGTTTGGGTTTCAGTCTTTTTTATCTGCTGTTCTGTGATGTATTTTGCAACTTTGCTTTGCTCTTTTGCTCTATAAAAAACATTATTTCCTAGAAACACAAAGAGAGAGCTACCTGAGTCAGTGACCATAAATACCCTGAAGGTGTTTCACACTGCTCAGTTGTCATGTCGGCTCTATTGTGGCCCCCCATCTCCTGACGACCGTGTTTGCCCTAAGTGCTGCTGATTGAAATATTCATGTTAGTTCTGCGTAGTCGCTGAAGGGCTTTTTATGTATAATCCATGTGCATCCTGGGGTTTCTTTGCTCAGACAAGAAAGCCTGAGCATGTAACTGCTGATGAGAACAAAGGCACAATAAAACATTTAGTGTTGGTTAGTTAAATTGTCGAAACATAATCGCTCCAGGCGTGAACCACAGAGCAGCCGTGTTCTTCTCTAGTTGAGCTGCAGTTAAAAGATGCTCGTCTTGTTTTAATACCATGAGAGGTGCTCCCACACATTAGCTATTAACACTAATGTTGTGTAGAGGGTCTTCGACACCCTAGGCTCCATTTAACAGCACAAAACATACCTTACATTATTACATCAGCTTGGAACTTAATGGCATTTCCTAATTTTATGAGACATGCTTATAAATATGGTTTTGAATTGATGACAAGCTTCAGATGTCTGCTACAGAAAATTATGCATTACTTGTGTTTGATGTCTGTAGCTGTAAAACACAGTTAAACACAAAGATTTTTATGCAGCATCACCTCTTTTAAAATCCCAAATAACTGTATTTCTGTCTCTAAGGCGTCTACTTGACTCTAAACATAAGAAACGTCTCTATGTACTGTCTCTGTTGATGCTTTCTTCTTTCTAGCAAATGAAAGGAATTTATTATTTTTCAACAAATTGCCCATATGTAGAATATAAAGCTATTTATATTTCCTAATAATAATAATTAGGCATTTTATTTAAAGGCGTCTTTCAAAGCACTCAAGGACACCTTAGAAGACACAGTTTAAAAAACAAGCAGCGCTGCATCCAGACACCATAAAATCAAGCAAAGCAGTAATAGACAATAATAAATTAATAAAATAGCTAGGTATAAAATCATAGTCGTAAAAGCTAGGTATAAAATCGTCATCATAAAGTCATCATTTCTGCAAAATGCAATGTGTGTGTGTCACCATCACCACCAGAGTGAGATCAGACTGAATGTGCCAGCCTCATTTGGTGTATTAACAGTGCTTTATGGTCATTTCCGTATTTCGTCACCATCATCAAATGTGCAAGCCCAGTTTGTGGGAAAAAGTCAATGTAATTAGTTTCATATATACAGTAGAGCAGTTGAGACCTGTGGGACCTCAAATAATGAACAAGTAATGCCACTGTCACCAAAACACAACAGTTAATCCAACATTTCACTGAAGATAACAACATGTATTCTCATTCTAAACAACTCTACCAGTTATTTTATCAATTAATCATTTGGTTCCTAAAATGTCAGAAATTAGCAAAACCCATCAGAACTCTTTAAAACCCGACAGATGTCATCAGATGTTTTGTTTTGCTCAACCAACACTCAAAAACTCAAAGATATTCAGTTTATTATTAGTCAAGACAAAAATAGCAAATGTTAATAACTGAGAGCGACATCTGTGGCTGAAAATGACTGAAAAGACTGATCAACCATCAAAATATTGCTTAATATTTTTCTGTCAGTCGACCAATTTATAAATTCACTGTTTCAGCCCCAAACTCCTAATATTCATCTCTTTTTTGTCAGTACTTAATTGTCATGAAATGTGAAACTTGGTATTCTCAAAACAGTCCGTATGCAGACTAAAAACATTTCCGTAATGCATTCTGTTTTATTTAAAGGCACCTTTCAAAGCACTCAAGGACACCTTACAAGACACAGTTAAAAAAAAAGCAGCAATGTATCTATAGATCATAAAATCAAACAGTTCTGTAATGTGCAATAAAAGTTAATGAAAATGACTAGACAAAATCCTAATTATAGATATCAGGTATAAAATTATCATCATAAAGTCAATATCTGTGCAGGTTACCATATATGTGTCAGCATTAAATAAGACAGAGTATGCCAGCTTGAAAAGGCATGTTTTCAGATGGGATTTGAAAGTGGAAAGGGAGTCAATATTGCAAATGTCGTGGGGGAGAGAGTTCCAGAGGCGGGGGGCAGAACGGCTGAAGGGTCTAGAGGTCGTGGTAGTCAAGTGGGCAGATGGAGATGTGAGTTGGATTGCAGAAGAGGATCTAAGAGTAAGGAAGGGTGTGTAGATATGAAGGAGTTCAGACAGAAAGGAAAGGGGCTTTATTATGAAGGGCCTTAAGAGCCCATGGGGAAAGAAAACATCTTACTGTCTTTGTGAAGTTTAATCTGCAGCGTCATCACAAAGTTGCAGTTTGATGCATCCATTATTTCCTTACAGTTTAAAGTAACTGCAAAAACAGCATAATAAGATAATTAGTATATAGTATACTGCACACACACAGTATGTAATGTGGAATTAGGTCATACTTTTGCTCTGTAGAAGATTTACTAGCTCCTTCTGATCTGCAGCCGCTGGGCAGGTCGACACAAACACTACAAAATACTCCAGTGACACATTGGCTGGCTTTTTTTGGGCGGAAGGAATTTATTGCCTCCATGGAAACGCTGCAGAGACAGATCAAATAAAACATCCTCTGAACATCTTGTACTTCCTCTCAAGTTTTGATCAAATCTAGAACGGAACAGCTTGCATACTGAGTTTGTGGTCAGGGACCACATGGGACTGCTGGCCACATGGTGGCAGTGTTGCACCAGATTGCAATCCACATGAAGCACAAATGCACACTCTAACACACACACAGGCACACACAGAGACCAGGGGGAGAGGTCAATCCAGAGCATTGTGCTTTCATGTAGGCGTTTGCATTTAATCAATATAAAGGAAAATAGGAGCAAACAGAGAGGAAAAGAAAGACATGTGTACGCTGCAACAAAGATGAAAAGGGGAAATTAGGGGTCCGAAAAAATAAGATGAAAAGGAAAAGAAGTGTGGGTAGGAAAGTAGACAACAAAAGAACAGGATAAATGTTTAAAAGGTTTTTGTTATCTTAATTCATATTTTATATTATGTGCTCGTTCATTTAGGGAATATTGTTCAAGAGGAGAATGTGCTCGTTTGATGAAGAAGTTGAAAGAATAGATGAGAGCGTGAGTGAGAGGGAGAGATGCAGGAGTGCGTCTGAGAGGGAGAGCGACAGAGAGAGAGAGAGAGAGAGAGAGAGAGAGAGAGAGGGTGGAGGGAGGGAGGGAGGGAGAGGCAGAGAGTTAGTGGATAAATGAGAGAGCAGCGCTGGCTCAGCCACAGCATCTTACTGCCAGGCGAAGGAAGGAGTCCAGGAAACACACACACACACAGAGATCAGTAGGACCTAACCAGCTGTTTCCAGGAACATCTCCTGCAGCCTGAGCTGAGCGTTGGATGTTTGGACTTGATGCATCATCACATGGAGGCATCTGGAGCAGCTTGTGCTCCAGGATTTATTCTCTAACCTGTGGCAGTGTAGGAGCGCAGACTTCAGCAGTGGGACGATCCCGGCTGTGGTTTTTTGGATTCTAGAGCTGAGAACTCATGAGCATGTACACAACATTTTACCTGTAGCGTCATGTTGTGTGCCCTCTGTTTTTTAGCATGACTGCTGTCAACAGTTTAGACTGTGTGTAAGAGCCATCCAGAGTTTCTGTTTGTGTGTGTGTTGTGTGTGAATGTGTGTGTGTCAGGATGAGTGTTCCCATGTTGAAGATCGGTGCGGTGCTCAGCACCATGGCTATGGTAACTAACTGGATGTCCCAGACTCTGCCGTCGCTGGTCGGACTCAATGGAACCGTCATTTCCTCTGAAGGCACACATGAGCGAATCGTCAGTGTATGTATTCTGTATATACACACTTTACACAATCACACTGTATGAATTTTATCCAAAACAAAAATGTGCTTTTTTTGTCACCAGAAGTTCATCTGTCACATTCTTTAAAATATGTAGGAGTCAGATATAATAGTGCAGAATTTTTTTGTTGTCGAGGAGCAGCTGTAGTTATCTTGTGTTCTTTCAGTGTACACTTGCATGCTTCAATCAGCTGTTCCCTACACATCAGCACCCACTCTCTGTATATGCTGTGACTGCATGAGCCCTCTAATGTGACATTTAATTTGATTAGAGAAATTGTTGCTTCTGAATTGCAGCAAAACACTCAGACAATCTACAATTACAGAGACAAGGAGTCAAATTCAGGGATCAACACATTCAGGAACGTTTAGCCCACATGCAGCAGATATTTGATCTGTTCACTGGTGCAGAAAATAGAGCAAAGACGGAAAAGAAACAAAAAGGAAAATACGCTTAGAGGAACAGATTTAGAACAACATCTGAAAAAAAGAGCACAGCATGTCGCCACTATGAAGAATAAATAGCACTAATAAATAAATAAATAAATGAATAAATAATATTTTCTGTTTATGACTCATAAACAACACATGTACAGTATGCACCAACTCACACACACACACACACACACACACACACACACACACACACAC